ATAAAATTTATGCAGTACATGGATAATTGTGCGTGCATCTATTAATCATTTTGAGTCTAATATCATCCCATAACCCAGGTCAGTGTAGTGTAGAGATGCACTAACTTCAAGTTTGGGTCAAACTTCACCCAAGTCCGCTGCTTCAAATTATCCCTAGAGCTGATCTGCGCATCACGGCACGCGTCTGCGGCGCATTAAAGCCTGTGTTACGGCCACCGGAGCTGAACGCGTGTTTATACCAGCCGCACCGCGGCCCAGAACCAGCCAGCGAGCGTCCGGTGTATGTTGTCTACACTGGATGCAGTAAACTTCTTCTTCTTCTTTTGGTTTTATGGCTGACACAAAGCTGTTGGTTTGGCAGTAGCTTGTTTGCCCTACACAGTTACCTTGTTTAATTTCTTAATTCAAGTTATATATTTTTTGTTCTATTTGTGTTAAGTTATTTGTAATAAATGAAGTTTACTGTTAAATGCACTGATGTCAGACTCATTTTGAATAATAAAGTTTATTGTTACATTTTAAATACCCTGCCTCCACTACATAGGCCTATGTTTGTCACATCATTATAAGTGTTTGATCAACACATTTGAGTTATCATTGCAAAAAAATGTGTTTATGTATATATATTCTGTTTATGTAGGCTATATACTGTATTCTATATACAGTACCAGTCAAAAGTTTGGGGACACGAATGGGAAGTGTGTCCAAACTTTTGACGGTTACACTTTACTTGAAGGGGTGTGCATAAGACTGACATGACACCTTCATAATCACAACATGACACCTACATAATCATGACATGACACATGTCATGAATATGAAGGTTTTTTATGCATGTTTATGACAACTGTCATTAAGTGTCATTTGCTCAGTTATGTAATTTTTAATGCAAAGATGACATTGTTTGAGATGTCTTTGTTATGGGCTATGGTTAGGGGTAAGGGTAGGGGTAGGGTTAGGTCAAATAATGTCATATTTGCATTAAAAATGACATAACTGAGCGAATGACACTTAATGACAGTTGTCATAAAAATGCATAAAATCTCCTTCATATTCATGACATGTGTCATGTCATGATTATGAAGGTGTCATGTCAATCTTATGCACACTTCAAGTAAAGTGTTACCCTTTTGACTATAGTGTACTATAATATAGCCTAAACATAAAGAATATCAGCCGATATATCAGTGTCTTTTTTTACTCCCTAATATCGGTATCAGCATCGGCCCCCAAAAAAACCATATCGGTCGGGCTCTAGTTATTATGACTATTCTAATTTTTGTTAACATTTAGAATGAGGTTTTGTTTTTATATTTTCTGTTTTATTTAAATTTTAGTTAAATGTTTATACATTTTTGTCGTTTTTTATTAGTTTTTTTGTATGTCTACTGTATATAGTTTTTATTAAGTTTTAGTTTATTTAGGTTGTTTATTTTAGTACATACACCAAAATGGAAAATGTTGTCTTGGCAATATATTCAATTTTATTTCAATTAATGTTTACTTTCTTTCAAGTAATGAAAATGTTTTTGATGGTTAGTTACATCAGGGTTAACCATAATAACCCTGATGACTAAATGTGTAAATACATTAATATTCTACTAAACACATACAGCTCCTACTTCATCTATTATGGGGTCCTTGGCCTTAAAATACATAGAGACCAACAGTAGCCTATATCAGGCATTTGGGCGGGGGGGGATTTGACGAATGCAGTTTTCTTTTCATATTTCTATTGAAACGTGGATATGGGGTGAAATAATGGCATGTGTTTTTTTTTGTTAAATAGGTAATAGTATTTAGTTTACAGGTCACAGCTTGACACAACATGATTTGCTAGTGACAAGTGGTATTTATAATATTTATAATTTAGCAGGAGGACACATTGCAGAGATTTGAATACACCCCTAACAGGGAGATGTAAATACAACTTAACCACTGATTTCTAGTCGTGTCAATTTTTGGATGGCCAAACCAAAGTAGTTTCGCTTTCACAACGAAACACAGCGTTACACATGGTGGCCTAGAGTGAGCGGCGGCAGCCTAGAGTGAGCAGAGGCCAGGGGCTAGAGTGAGGGACGGCTGGAGGGCTAGAGTGAGCAGAGGCGGCGGGCTCGAGAATGGCGTGGCCGGCGGATTCGACGAAGAAGGCTTGCGGCAACCACATGTGGTGGCTGACTCTTAACTTTTATAAAGAATATCTCTTTGGATTTGAGACTTTAGTCTTTGAAAATTTACAGATCTTCTTTATCCACCAAGAGCTTGTAACACTCCAGAGAGAAAGGAAAAATTGAAATCGCATCATATGACCCCTTTAAATATATTTTTTTTTCTGGAAGAGGAAGACAGACGTTTTAAATGCATAACAGTTTGCATAACTTTTGTCAACTTTTTGGATTACATTAGCATATAGATGAAAGATACGGACTAAAAGCTTCAAAACCTACATGTCGTCTTTAATACAACTTTCTGTTGCTCCTCAGTAAATGTAAGCCAGTTGCCATCAGTATAAAACTAGCGCCAACCTGTGGTTAAAACTTCAAACAGCATGCACTCAATTCAGTCAGGACCTGGTATTTTGTGGTTGAGTTGGTTACAGTGTGTTGCGGATTCTCAATCTAGTAAATACTCTCTTCAACAAACTCTTCTTTCAGATAATTCAGTCTACAGGTCTCAAAGTAGATAGAAGTCCATCAAATCTCTCTATAAAACTCCTCCTACTGGTTTTACAGGCCATTAATTTTACATCCCAATCTTCATCTGAATGCAGTTGAGCTTTCGTCGTGTGACCATAGGAGATTTTCTGCTCCATTAGATTTTTGACTTATTCTTCTGCCTTCACTTCCTCTATAAATCCATGTTTTTATTTGAAGTAGTTTCCATCATTGATTCTTGATGGTGTCTGAAGTGCTTTCCTCATTATAATGCTTTTCTCATCACTTGTCTCATTCAGGCCAATATAACTGAAATGCATGATAAAACCAGTGGGCAACGGGGAGTCCCCCTTGTACTGTTGTGGGTAAATTGGAATAGGGCACTAAAACACCTGGATGTGTTATAATGAGATAATGAGTTCTGTAATGGTTCTGACATTTCTGGGAGCCAAGAGTTCCCACTGGGGATGTGAGAGAGGGAGATGGCGAGGTGATTATGAGCCAATCAGCAGAGAGCTGGTAAAGAAAATATCCTTTTAGTATTCATAAGAAAACTATCGCTCAGACATCTAAAATGCATTCATATATTCATAGCACTCCTACTCATGTTTTAATCTACAGTACAGTCACAGACAAAACAACACTAAAAAGCGCCCATAAGTTATTACATTATGTAGTGCCATAATGCATGAATATGGTAATCATTCAGTACCATGGTACTGCAACTATAGTTTTTGTAAGGCTTAAAAGAGGGCATGTGTACTACGACAACTAATTATTTACAAAAGTCTCTACATTCTCATAAAGTTTCCTGTCAGTACAAAAAAGAGTTTAACAGCCTGATACTAAGTGAGAAAATGTTTAAAGGGACAGTTCACCCAAAAATTAACATTCTGTCATCGTTTACTAACCCTCATGTCGTTCTAAACTCCTTTGAATTTATTATTTTCTGTAAAGCGAAGTAAAAAAAAAAAGTGTTTGTTTTCTATTAATTAATATACATTATCCTTCAAAAGTTTGGGGTCAGTAAGAATTTTTTTAAAGAAATTAATATTTTTATTCAACAAGGGCACATTAAATTGTTTAAAAGGACAGTAAAGGAAAGATCATGTGAAACTGAAGACTGGAGTAATGACTGCTGAAAATTCAGCTTTGCCAACACAGGAATAAATTACATCTTAAAACATTCAAATAGAAAACAGTTATGTTAAATTGTAATAATATTACACAATAATACTATTTTTACTGTATCAAATAAATGCAGCCTTTGTGAGCTTAAGAGACTTTAAAAATCCCAACCCCAATCTTTTGAACTGTAGTGTATAATTAATAAATTAATCTCCAAAGAACCATATAGCCAAACTAAGAACATTGCACTGCAAAAATGGTTATTGAGGAAGGTCAAAAATCCATTTAATAACCTCTATGCATGTATATACAAGCTTTTTGCATGAGTTCACCATGAGTTTTGTGTGTAACTAATTGCTTTTCCTTTTATCTTCCTCAGTACGTTGAGACCATCAGCAGTAAACAGAGTGAGCTGGATAACTTCATTGCAGAGGGCTACAAAACAGCACTTTCAGAGGAACGTAGGAGATACTGTTTCCTGGTGGACCGCCAATGCGCTGTGGCCAAGAACAGCAGCGCCTACCATGGCAAGGTGAGACCCAGATGCTTTTTCCTTTGCTGTACAAGATAGAAAGCATCAGCACCAATGTACTTTCACAGTCTCTCCTGTAATCTGGCTGAAGACAGCAGCAGTTGCCATGGCAATCCCCAAAGATCAACCCTCACAACCGTCTCCGTTGGGCACAGTTTGTTTGGGCTTATTGCAAAGATGAGATTTATTCTCCCCTGCAATTGTCTGTGTTCCAGGAGTGCATGTGAAGTAATGCATGCCATTCCTGACATATCAATTATGCCTAATAACAGACCCACTTCCCCATGGTAAAACCACATCATTTTAACTCCAGATTGCATGCAGAGCCGTTATTATCATCTGCAGGTGTTCCCAACCCATATGCAATCTGCTTAAATGCACCTTTTTACATCTGTATACTTGTGTGTGTGTGTGTGTGTGTGTGTGTGTGTTGGAGGGATGTTTGCACATGGCTATTTTTCTGTATTATATCATTGTATAACTTGCTCGGACTAAATTGTAGACCCTGTTCATGGACTAGACGTGTGGTGCTGTCTTCTGGGAATGTAGTTGAGGCTGTTGGGAGGGGCGTAGAGAAGCCCTTCATTTTCAAGAACATCCTGTACAGTAGCTAATCAGTACGGAGGCGTGTGTAGGAAGAGTTCAGAAAGTGTGCGCTGAAGAGGGAGAGAGAGCGAGTGTGGTAGAATCTGGAGCCGTGTGTGTGTGTGTGTGAGTCACCAGGAGTGGGCGGTAGGACTGAGACGAAGGCCCCTCACCCACATTGCAGTGTGCTGTACTGTAAGTGGTCCGAGATGTGAGAGACCCATTAGCAGTTGCTCAGAATCACCAACAGTCAATTGCTATGAACATGATGTGAGGTGAATTATATGTTGAAAGGATTATGCTACGTTAAAAATCTAAAGCAAAAGACAGACATCAAAAAGCTGAGGGACAAATAGACAGCTCACCGTAGGGTTAGGGCTTTTTACTCAAAAAAAAACTTTTAACCCTAAGTCAAACTTTGACACATAATCCTCTCCCCCACTGTTTGTGATATGGATAATAATGATACCTTATATCATGCAATAAGGATAATGTACCCTTACTTTTCTAATCAGTTCTGATTTTTGCATGGACAGTAAACAGACACCCTCAGAACACCCTGACAACACATCGAAGACCACTCAAAACACCTTAACAGCTCACCTAAATCCACTCAAAACATCCTAACAGCACACTGAATTCCACGCAAAACTTCCTAACAGCACAACGAAAACTATTTTGACCCCCCTTACAACACACAGAAGACGTCTCTGGTTACCTTCGTAACCTCGGTTCCCTGAGAGCGGGAAGACATTGCGAAGCATTCACAGTGGGAACTCCTCCTCTTATAGGATAACGCTAGTACAATAAACTGGGCAGTTGTCGCTAATTATGCAAATCACATGCAAATACTGACAAGCCTGCGGGCAGTATATAATGTGGTGAGAGCGACAATAGCCTCAGAATCTAAGACTGAACGCTTGCACTACTGATCAAACAGCGAACACGGTGACCTTCACAATGTCTCGTTCCCGCTCTCACTCTACATTGCGAAATATTTGCAGTGGGAACGGTATACAATCCCTCCGTGAGAGCGGTGAAGATCAGACCAAACCAACGGCTAAGTCCACACCAAGCATGGGGTAGAACAACACACAATTCCCAACCAATAGTGATGCCACTAGGAAAGCCCACAGCTGATAGATGGAGCTAGATCAATGAACATCTTAACTCAGGTATACTAAATTAGCATATCTGGCCACAATAGAAGAGCGGCTGCACTGAATAAAGGGCAGACACAACAGCAGTGACAAGGTAGCGCCGTGCAAAGTAACAAAAGCACAAAAAGATGTACATAGGCCTGCACATTGTCAACAGATATACGCGCTAACAAACTGTGCCACAAATTGCAGATAGCAATAATCTAGAAGAATAAGTGAGGTTAGTGACTCACCGAAAGCACTTGAGATGCCAAGGATGGCACATCCAACTTGTAAAACCTGGCGAAAGAATTCTGTGAGGACCAGCCGGCTGCAAAGCATATATCCTGAATAGATGTGCTTTTAGATCAGGCCCATGAAGAGGCAATAGCCCTTGTCGTATGGGCTCTGATGCTGAGAAGGCATTCCTGTCCCTAGCTCGCATAAACTGACACAATAGCATCCACTAACCAGTGAGAAAGCCTCTGCTTAGATATTGCTCGTCCTTTAGTATAACCACCGAAGCACACAAACAGCTCGTTACACTGTCAAAGATGGCCAAGCGGTCGATAAAAATCCTTAAAGTCCTGACAGGGCAAACGGCGCTCTGAGCCTCGGCATCACACGAAGTCGACGGCTCGGAAGACAAAGCGGGCAAAGAAATTACCTGCGCTTTAAAGGGGGTAGAAGGAGATTTAGGCACGTAGCCCAGTCTCGGCCGGAGAGTAACACTGCAGTCCCCAGGCCCAAAGCGAATCTCTAGGACACCTGAAGTAGCCACACATGAAGGCTCCACAGCTCCGGGCTGGGGTGCCATATCAAGCCGTTCGCTGAAGGGGATTCGCCAAGGGGGAGCAACCAGCATCTTCCTGAGGTCCAGAAACCAAGGTTGATTCAGCCTGTTCAGGGCAATGAGGATCACCAAAGATCTCTCTTTCCTGATTTTGCATAATACCAGAGGCAAAATCTTCACTGGAGGGAACACATAAAGTCTGGCTCTCGGCAGGTGCAACGTCAGAGTGTCTCCCATCAGCGGGGAGTGAGACAGTGAAAAGAATAGCAGGCAGTGTGTGTTCTCGCTCGTCACGAACAGATCCACCTCTGCCCTCCCGAAGTGGTCCCAAATGGTCAGAACCAAACTGGGATGCAGCCTCCACTCCCCGTGAGGAATTCTGTTCCTCAAAAGCATGTCTGCTTCACGGTTTAGGAGACCGTGGATTTGCGCTGCTCTGATGGAGAGTAGATGACGATCCGCCCATAATAGAAGACTCGCAGCCTGCGTGAAAAGGGATCTGGGAGCCCACGCTGCCTTGGCGATATATGTACGAAACCACAGACATACTGTCGGTGCAAAACAGTAGATGTCGCTGTTCCAGCTGCATCAGAAAAGCCACTAGTGCTAAGGACACCACCTTCAGTTCCAAGCGGTTTATGTGCCACCTTCTCTGAGACTCTGACCACAAGCCTGAAGTCGGTACGCCCTCGCACACTGCTTCCCAGCCGTGAGGTCGACGCATCTGTTGTAACCACAGTGCGTGCTGTCACCAGTCCCAGGTGAATCCCCCGGGATTCCAGATGGCGAAGCAGCACATCTGTATGACTGATAAGCACATCTCTTAATATGGCGTGCACATCGTTCAGATAGTTTAGAATACGCATACCGCTCGCTCTGAGAAGGGAAAGCGCTGCATTTATGCACTTCAAGAACGTGCGCGGGGGCTAAAGCCAGCCCGAATGGGAGCACGGAGTACTAGTTTGCCGTGCCCTCGAAAGCAAACCTAAGAAAGCCTGTGGAGTGGTGCTATCTGAATATGAAAGTATGCATCTTTCAGTTCCACTGATGCAAACCAGTCCCCAGAACGGATTTGTGCTGGGATCTGCTTCAGAGTCGTCATCCTCAATGCTGAACGTATCCGTTGAAATGGAGGGGTCTGCGTCTGAACTGGAGGGAATATCCGTGCTCTATTATGCTCAGCACCCAGCACAAAATGCCTGGAATAGCTCTCCACACATCTAGAAACTGACATAGGGCCGAACTTCTCCGGTCGCTATCGCTGGCAGCGATGTTCATAGACTGGGCAAGTAACATGAGTAGGCGAGTGACACCGTATCAATATGATAGGGCGAGTAACACCATATAAATATGATGAGGATAAAACAGCTCTTTTTGTGAGGATGTTTGCGTTTTTATTGAACAAACATGAATATTGCATTTGTCGCCTACAGGAACAAGGGGAACATAATGCAGACTGCGGTGCTTGGAGGCCGGGCCTCCAGCAAGCTCTCTCCTCCTCTTGGCCGGTCCGTCAGGACGAGGGCTTGGCAGCCGAGGGCAGTCCGCTATCACGGTGGGGGCTCCTCCTCTAACGGTGGCACCTTTTTTTGGGTCCCGTCCGCTGCTTGCAGCGAACATCCAGCTCGAGGAGCCACAGAGGATGCGGTGGGCTGCTTAGCCTTTCTCTGAGCGGAGCGGGGCACAGAAGAGGAGCGTGGACTCGTCGGTGGATAGAACATGCGCTGTGTGCAGGTCTTTCACGACGTCTTCCATGTTGCCGTTGTCCAGGGACTGTAGGAGCTTAGCTTGAAAGACCTGCAGTACCTCCATCACGTGCAGCGTGGATGCCATTTCACCCGCAAAGGTGTAAGCCTTGTCAGCGAGGTGGGCGGTCAATCTGCAAGGCTTAGAAGGCAGGCCGAGGTCTGTGCCAAGCAAGGCCGAGGAAGGGCACAGATCCGCAGCAATAGTCTCCTCAACGGGGGGCATGCGCACATAGCCGTGGGCCTTCATCCCGTCCACGTGGGAGAACATGGGCTGAGTGGAAGAGTGTACATGCGCCAACTGGGGTGCAGACCATGACTTCTCCACCTGCTCGAGGACATCCGGGAAGAACGGGACCCTCCTCCTCGAGGCAGCCAGGCGGTGGCTCGACTGGAAGTACCAGGAGTCAAGCTTACACCTGGCAGTTTCCTCTGGAGCATCCCAGTTCTCGTCAGCAAAAAGGACTGGTTAAAGGGGTGATGGCAGAGGACGATGGCCCGGACCAAGTCATCACCATCGCCCCGAGGGAGGGGAGGGCCCACCAGCGGCTCACTGGCGGCAGTGGGCCTCGTCCCCGTAAGTCCACGAGCGATGCTCCTCAGAGTCCTCAAAACGTGGAATGGCAAGTCAGCGTAGTGCACACAGTCGGACACAGAGAAAGCCACCTCAGTGTGGGCCAGGCTCAGGCAGGCAATGCAGTGCTCGTGCGGGTCCGGCGGGTCGATGGGGCCCACGCAAATTCGGCAGAAGGTAGCCATCGGATGCGGAAAAGAAGAAGCTGTCTTATCTTCAGGTGCGTCTTTGACGATGGCAACATGAAGGAGAAGATTCTGAGGCAATTGTCGCTCTCCAATTATATACTGCCCGCAGGCTTGTCAGTATTTGTATGTGATTTGCATAATTAGCAACAGTTGGCCAGTTTATTGTACTGGCGTTATCCTATAAGGCTTCAGGATTTCGGAGAAGGGGAGGAGTTCCCACTGCGAATGCTTCGCAATGTAGAGTGAACAGTCGAAAGGGAACTACTCAAAACATCCTAACAGCACACTGAAAACCACTCAGAACACCCAAACAACACACAGAAAACCACTCAGAGCACCCTAACATAGGAACACAGAAACTTGTTGTCAAGCTTGCTGTGCATTAAACGATTTTAATGCACTCTGCGGAGGCAACCACCCAACGCAAATTAGCCATTATCCCTTACATAAAACACCCTAGCAACACATTAAAACATCTTTGCAACACAAAAAAAACTTCTAGAATACCATAGAAACCACCCAGAACATCGTAGCTACAAACTAAATACAACCCAGAACACCCAAGCGACACATCAAGAAACACTCGGAACACCTTTTCAACACACTAAAAACTACTTAGAACACCTTAGCAACACATTCAAAACACCTTAGAAGCCACTCAGAACACTCTAGCAACACCAAAAAAAAATTTTTTTTAAACTCCAAACACCTTCACGACACATTATAAACCACTTAAAATGCCCTAGCAATGACCCAGAACACTCTAACAACCCACTGAGAACCACTCAGAACACCTGAGCAACCATATTGAAACACCTTGGCAACCACTCTGGTTTTGTTCTGAAAGTGTAAAAATCTAGTCACAATTTTGAAGTAGTAACAATAACTGTAGTAACTCTGGTGTTTTGGCAGAAACTACAGTTACCATGGTAATTTTTTACATAATGAGCAAGTGTAGTGGTGTAAAACCAACAGAGGACATCTGGCATCTCTCTCTCTCTCTCTCTCTCTCTCTCATTCTCTCATTCACTCACTCAGATACATTTTAGCACACCAGCTATGGTCAAATTTTTCTCATGCCATCCTAAACTATTTATGGTGCTTTTTCTCTTGTTTGTAGGGCAAGGACTTGTTAACCCAGAAGATCCCAGTGTGGCAGCAGGCCTGTTCAGACCCCAACAAGCTGCCCGACAGAGCCATGCTGCTCGCCCAGCAGATGTGCTCTGGATCCAACACCCTCCTCTCCAGCCCTCTGCACTCCTCCAAGGGCAACCTGGTCATCTCAGATCCCATTCCTGGAGCACAACCGCTGCCTGTGCCCCCCGAACTAGCTGCCTTCATGGAAAGTGGCCTGGGCCATCAGGGGGTTAGTAGGGAATATTTGCCTTCTGTTTCACAATAAGGATTTATTGTTGGTCAGAACATACAAAATAGCATTTCAAGTGTCTCATGACTTGATGTGAAAAAGTAAACGTTCATTTGCATACTGCAGCATTAGCTTAGCGTAGGATGATTCAACCTCTTTAAAACTTGTTTCTGCAGGCAGTGCTTTAGTTGAGTGGCCCCTCGCTAGAGCAGAATGCTCACACAATGTTAATACGATAACTGAGCCTCCACAACCATAATGTACTTTCTCTCTATTGGCGCTGCTGCTCGAGTGATACTCTTATATCACAGAGCTTGTTTAGAAGTCTGGCCTTGTCTGCTGGTTTAAAGGGGTCATGACATGTATTTTTTTTACTATTATTATTATTCATTTAAAATGTTCCCTAAAGTTCAGTTATGTTAATAAAGTTTTTGCACATATCAACCATCATTCTGGCCCTCTGTCCAGAAGAAGATCTATTTTTAAGGGCTTCTCCCTTAAAGGAGTAGTTCAATGTACTCACCCTCAGGCCCTCCATAATGAAGATGAGTTTGTTTCTTCATTGGAACAGATTTGGGGAAATTTAGCCGTAAAATCACTTGCTCACCAATGGATTCTCTGCAGTGAATGGGTGCCGTCAGAATGAGAGTCCAAACAGCTGATAAAAACATCACAATCATCCACAAGTAATCCACATGAGTCGAATGCATCAATTAATGTCTTGTGAATTGAGAAGCTGCATGTTTGTAAGAAACAAATCCAATGAAGACATTCAAACTGTGGATGGACTATTTCCACTGGAGAAAGCATTATTATGGATTATAGGCTTGTATTTTTATGTGACACTTTAAAGTTAAAATGCCTTAATGATTAATTTGTTCATTACAAACATGTAGCTTTCCACTTATTAAATTGTTAATTGATATTCTGACTGGTTGTTGTGTGGATTACTTGTGGATTATTGTGATGTGTTTATCAGCTGTTTGGACTCTTATTCTGACGGCACCCATTCACTGCAGAGGATCCATTGGTGAGCAAGTGATGTAATGCTAAATTTCTCCAAATCTGTTCTGACGAAAAATAAACTCATCTGCATCTTGGATGGCCTGAGAGTGAGTACATTTTCAGCAAATTTTCAGTTTTGGGTGCACTACTCCATTAAGGCTTATCAGTAAACGGCCACTGGTTAATGAAATTGCATGGTAATAAGTATAAATGCCCCTCCACTATTGCATGTGAGCAAGTGTTTTTAAAACATTATCCATATAAAACCGTCATTTGCAGACAAAGTATTATGAAATTATTTTCCTATCTTACACATCAAAGTGATCATTCTTTTATTCTTCCGTTTGTCCTGTTGTCTAGACAAACAGTATGTCAGTAATTGAACGAAAATCCCAGGCTTAAAAATCCAGGCTTCTGTGTATCTGACAACGCTTACTTGGTAATCTGTATGCTTGCAGCGGCTAATGGGTCCTGATGGCATGTCTCTGGTAAACGGGACAACGGGGGTCCATGGAGACGACTACTGGACTGATGGCGGGGTCTCTCAGGGAAGACCACCCTCTCCACCGAATCAGTCTCAAACGCAGAGCCAGCCCCAGAGACAGGTCAGCGACGTCTATTCCAACACCCTGCCTGTCCGCAGGCCCCAGCCTGCTAAAAACAAGACCACCGTGGGTAAGAGAAACCAATCCTTCTGCATATCCATGCAAACCTTTGGGCAAATGGGGTTTTTGAGCCATGAAGTGGTCTTTCTTTTTTCATCCCCAGAACAGGGTTATTATCATTAACTAAATTAAAAACATAATCTAAAACCATGGGGGGGGTCTGTTTCTTCAAATAAATGTAAACTAAAAGAAAATATTTAAAAAGTATTATTTATTATTACTTATTTATTATTTCGGTTAGTTGCCAAGGCAAACTTTTTCATTTAGTTAAAGTTGAAGTACTAAAACTAAAATAAAAATTGATAAAAACTTTATAGATAATATAGTATATAGAGACAATATAGAGTTTAAAAAAAATAAGTTAAAGAAAAATAATCAAAATGACAAAAACAACAAAACTACTGGCACGTTTAACAAAATTTAGAATGAAAATGGAAAATCTGTGGGGATAGATGGCTAAAATGTGTTCAAAATCTTTGACAGCTTATCTCAATACCTCATGGGACCTGTAAATTGTATAAGTAAATTTATAGTCAATAAGTTATTTTATTGTCAATATTTTATTTATATATATATATATATAAATTATATATATAATTTTTTTTTTTTTTAATAGGTTATTTTATATGCATTACACTGTATTTCTACATTAACATTTCAATGATGATGTTCATGTTCAAATATCCTCCCTCCGTTTCTTTTAACAATTTGCACCTTGATTATTATTAATTATTATTATTTGAATCTTTCTTTAGGAGAAACACGAACTCTGCCCAGGTCAAGTTCCATGGCGGCTGGTCTGGAGAAGAACGGACGTTCTCGCGTACAGGCCATTTTCTCCCACATCGCTGGCGACAATAGCACCCTTCTGAGCTTCACTGAGGGCGACATCATCACCCTGCTGGTGCCAGAGGCTCGGGACGGCTGGCACTATGGGGAGAATGAGAAAAACAAGATGTAAGCACGCAATGATGTATACATTAACAACAGAACTGAATGAGGGGAAAAAATCTATTTTGTAATGCAAAATATATAATGCAAGGAAAACAAATGAGTAGTGAACGTCTTTAATGAACCACACAACCTAAACATTACAGATGACGTCGGGGCCATTGCTAGGATTTCTGGGTCCCTTGTCCTGTCCATTTCAGATTATTCTACTGGGAAAAAAGGCCCTAGTTATCTCCCATGTGTCTCCTCTAGAGTTTCAAAAGAGATCTCAAACGGTGCTGATATTTGCTAGGATGCCAAAATATAAAGTCCAATTTATTATGAACTCAATATGAACATACCTCACCAAATTCTCTCATTCTACCCACATTAATTTTTACTTAAAAGTAATATAATTCTATACTCTTACTATATATGAACAATTATCTTATTTTTTAGTTTTAATTTCTCCTGAGGGAAAAACTTCTGAAACTAAACAAATTTTCGATGGAAACAAACTGACAGCCCCATTAAGTCCTACACTACACTACCCATAATACTAGAGAGACTGCCTACTTGGATCAGTCACTGTTTCCATGGAAATGAGAACTGCACCGAAAGAGCTTAGCAGCGACTGCCAGCTCCCATGAGACACATTTCCCTACAACCTCTAACTACTTATATATTTGCATATATTTAAATATTTTGCAATAAACAATGACTTACTGTATAGTTAATGTGTGAACAGTGAGTCCTCCCTAGACAGCGATTTCAGCAAAGATAAATTTGATTACAAGAGTTTTTTCTTAGGAGAGTAGTCTGAGAGGAATGAAACTCTGTTTACTCTCCATTTAATCTCTTTTCTGTTTAGAAGAATATTTATAAATAAACTGAGATATTAAACTTAAGCTTATGCTTATTCTTCACATTGGGGTTTATCCACTGTCATGGATGTGGAGTTTCTAAAGAAAAGCGCTTTAATTTCAGGCGTGGCTGGTTTCCTTTTTCCTACACCCGAGTGCTGCCTGACAGTGACAACGAGAAGTTAAGAGTCAAGTAAGTTCCCTGAAATGACACAAACTGTGTTTCTGTCTTTACACTTGGCATTAGCATGCATTTTTCGATGATCGGATCACAATCGGTCACTCTTGGACAGATTTTGACCACATTTAATGAAGGTGAAAATGCAAATGCATTTTTGTTATCAGCCATGTAGGAATATATAATGAGGTAACACTGAAAATAATCATATACATCACTTTGCCTAAGTGTGGACTGCAGGTTCTGGGCTTTTCTTTTTCTTCTCTGGTGATTCGAAAGACAACAGATACTGTGCTCTTGTGCTTTGATTAAATCTCTTGATTTAATCAACGGTATCTGATTATTAATCAAATTATTTCACTGGATTATGGTTGGAATCTTGTTTCGGTTGGAATGCTCATTTCTTTTCTTTCCGTTTCTTCACTTCAAATCACGATTCACGTGCTTTATTGAGGAGTTCATAATTAAAGGAAATGACTGAAAATTCTGTTAATGCAACCTCAGCACAACCGATTCAGTTAACACAACCTCAAATGTAAAACACAAATGTTCAAAATTTTGGGGTCTGTAAGATTTTGTAATGTTTTTGAAAATAGTGACTTATGCTCACCAAGGCTGCATTTATTTGATCAAAAATACAGTAAAAACTGTAATATTGTGAAATATTACCATTTAAAATGTCACAATGCCCATTTAAAATGTCATTTTCTATGTCACATGATCCTTCAGAAATCATTCTAATATACTAATTTGTTGCTCAGGAAACATTTCTTATTATTATCAGTGCTGAAAACAGTTATGCAGCTTAATATTTTGTGCAATAATTTTTTTTCAGGATTCTTTGATAAATAGAAAGTTCAAAAGAACAGCATTTACTTGAAATAGAACTATAAACAAATCAATTTAATGCATCCTTGCTGAATTATTAAAAAAAAAAAAAAAAAAAATCTTACAGATCCCAGCTTTTGAACAGTAGTGTAAGTAGCAGTTTGCATTTGCATCTCTATCTGATCGCACTGGATCTGATGCATTGGAATAAAGGAGTAAATTCAATGCAGCGAAAAACTATCTGGATACAAAACACATGTTGATGGCAGGTGTAAAGATGACTGATTGACTGACCTTCATCCTGTAGTCTTCACCATGGGAAGAGCAGCAGCACAGGAAACCTGCTGGAGCGAGAGGACATGTCCTTACCCATGCCTGACTATGGTCTGACTGCCCGACTGTTGGCACAGAGCCTAACACAGTCTCGACCACGTCCCTACAGCATGGCAGGCTTCGCACAGGTACACACACACATATTAGCATTAGACAGGAATCTCTCACTAATGTCTGCTTTCTTGGGATTTATTCTCTGTAATTCTCTTTTAACTCTGCTCCAAGCTTAATCTATGCATCAGCTTTTCTTTAATCTGTTCTGTAAAGCTTACTGCATGTGGGTTTCTATTAACATGCATGGTTTTCATATTGAATGGATAGTTCACCCTAAAATGACATTTCTGTTATCATTTACTCACCTTCATGTGGTTTCAAACGCACATGACTTTCTTCTGTGGAACGCAAAAGCTGTTTTGAAAAGCTTCACTTTTTCCATACAGCGAAAGCTTGTTGACCAGGGGCAAAAAAATACCGATTTACTGCAGATTCTAGCTAATGAGTAATAGTGGCAGGAAAACACCAACAACTTTTATTCCCTTTCACACAAATTATTACAGCAGCAGATTGTTGATTAATTGTGACTCATTGTGCATTTCCTTGCGCAATACTATGACCTTAAAATGGTTTTACTATAGATCATGATTTGTAAACTAGTACATTTTGATGATTGCATCACATAAACAGTTCCATATGTATGGCTTTACTGACATACAGTAGTAAACTTGCTCGGTAGCTCACCTGGGACATCAGTGCACTTGCCATGTGGATAGTTTGGGTACGAAACAAGAGTGACAATAAAAGTCCAAAGCCTTGTAGAAGCAACAATTATTGATTACTTATTTTCATTGTAGGAAAATAGAATTTAAACATTGTAAAAAAAATATATATATATCCTTCCGTTTGGAGCGATGTGAGAGTAAGTAAATGATGACAGGGATAGTATTTTGTGTGAACTGTCCCTTTAATACACTGTGTTAGATATTTTCCTTCTAAGCTGGAAATAAGCTTCTAAGCCGCACTGAAATGTTGTTTTTACAAATTCCAGCCAGCGCTAGAGGATTATGACAGTCAGTTTGCCACAAGGTAAGATCGGCTCTTAATGAACAGAAATGACACTTAATAACACTTAATGAATCAGTTTTATGAATTTATGCCAAAATGCCAAAACTGTACTGATAATTATATCTCTCTTAGTGGATAGTAGTTAATATTTGTGTTTTTCCCTTTATTAGCTCATGCTTGCTTATGCTAAATGTGCAATATAGTGCTGATATTTGTTGGGAGACCAACCCTGTTTTATCAGAGAATTGTAAATGGTTTGACAAGAGAAGGTTGTGTGTCTGTCTGTTTTTGTGAGTGGAGTGAATAAGATGCTGGATTGTGAGATGCATCGTTGTTGACCTCACTGTAACCTCATTGTGTGTGTGTGATCCATTAAGGTCAGGATCAGAGCTGCTCATAGTCTGTGTGCCCTGAACTCATTGTCTCTAGAAGCCTCTATTTGAGATTCAGTTCACTTAAAAAAATAAAATAAAATTTCAGGTTCAAAACAACTGAAACTCTATGGAGAGCAGACAATAGCTTCATATCAACACGTCAGTTTATAAAAACTTTGTACAGTAATGCACTTACAATGAAAATGTGTTCATTGGAAGGGTTTAAAAGTAGAAATGTGAAGCTTGTAGTTTCATTCAAGCAAAATTGTGAACATCTTTGTTTTTGCAGTGAGACTACTGTTTCAAATACATAAACTAAAACATTATCAGTGTTACTCCTGTTGACGTATTTGTCTCTATGTAACAGCCCTTTCAGGTAGCAAAACGTACTATGTTTAATGTTTTTACATTGACAAGATTTTTTTTTTTTTTTTTGAAGGAATCAATACTTTTATTCAGTAAATTGATCAAAAGTGACAGTAATGAGATTTATAATGTTACAAAAGATTTATATTTCAGATAAATGCTCTTCTTTTGAAATTTCTATAGATCAAAGTATGCTAAAAATATGTATTATGGTTTTCATAAAAATATTAAACAGCACAACTGTGTTCAAAAATTTTTGAGCAGCAAATCAGCCGATTAGAATGATTTCTGACGGATCATGTGACACTGAAGACTGGAGTAATGATGCTGAAAATTCAGCTTCGCATCACAGAAATAAATTCTATTTTGAAATATATTCAAATAGAAAACAATTATTTTAAATGGTAATAATATTTCACAATATTCTTGTTTTTACTGTATTTTTGGTCAAATAAATGCAACCTTGGTGAGCACAGGAGACTTATTTCAAAAACATTTTAAAAATCATACAGACCCCAAAACAGTAGTGTATTACTATAACTTTGCATAGACAAGATTATTATGAGATTGTATCACATTTAACACAATGTTTCAAGTATTGTAGCTATATTTTTGAAAATTATGTGTAAACTGTAACATTTATTCCAGTGCAATGTCCTGCCTCATAAACGTCAATTGTAAGTGCATTACTGTGAACCTGATTTGAGGAACAAGATTAATACAATTTATACAACTTGACCTGACCTTTTACCCATTTTAATCCCTTCTTTTAGATTTGACCTTGTGAATTGAAAATGGTACTTTAATATCCCATGGCACATTCAATAGCTGTGTGGTTTGATGTTAGACAGGTTGAGGAATAAGCCCTCCCTACAGCCTTCACTCCTGCCCATTTGTGGCTGTCTTGTCTTTTCTTCATTTCTCTCTGAATGTGTCCGACCTGGCAAGCTTCCTTCTCTCTTTGTTCCACAGTTCCGATGGCAAATTGATTTCGACAGTGTGAACACAGACAGACTATCAGACACAGATCCGGATAGCACAGGGGCCACGCCCCTACTTCCCTTAGCCCCTCCCCTTTTAAGCTCTGCCTCCACACACTCCTCCTCCAATGGAAGGGGCCAGTCTCATCCCTCCTTTCTGTCCTCTCTTCCTCCCTGCGTCTTGCCGGGGCGATAGTGATGGTCGCGTGTGGTGGGTTGGGGGGGAACTCTGAGAAGAACGACCGGAACGCAGTCCAACTGCTCGTCTCGCTGCTTTACGGACTCTGATTCGCCTGTAGTGACGCCGCTATGACATCGCTGTGGACTCCAAAGAGACTGCTTACCACTTCCCGTCTTTCATGCATGAGCACAAGTTTTGCTATGTGGTTGTTTTTTAAAATGACATCCTCATGTAAAAGTGCCAAAAGAAAAGCAAATTTGGTCTTATGGAGCAGCTCTTCTCATTCCGAAGCTCTTGCTGAGTGTTTTTTCTAAGCAGATGTGATGGGAGCCTCATGCCAAATGAGGAATGTTTTTTTTTTTTATTCTTTGTGGTTTAGTTGTGCAGACTCTCTCTGTTTTTGAAGAGCATTTGCATTTTGTGAATCCATGTATTACCTGGTGCTCCTCTGGTCCAGAGGCTGTGTCGCTTGGTGAGCTTAGATTTTCCTCCGATTCACAGACGAAATTGGAATGATTGGAAGGAAAACCGAAATTTGCCCTCATTAAACAAGTGCCAAATGATAGTGGACCTACGAAACTAGAGTGAAGGTCGCATGAGCTTCAAAATCCTCGGGTGGGACTGTGCTGTTCATCCAGACCAGCACGTGTCCACTCACCCTACATGCATGAAAGAAAAGTGCTCTGAGCAGAAACCTTTACCCCACAACAAAATCCCATTATCCTGCCTCAGACACCTTAAAGTATGGGATCAGAAAAGTATCAAAATTAATATTTTGACAGTATGATTCACAAATGTGTGACCTAATTCACAAAATTAGATTTTCAAATATTCATTTGAACACAAGTGTGTTCACAACTTTTGAGACTCATGAACTGATGGATAACCTTGAATTTGAGTGTGAATGTTTTCAGAATTTTCTTAGCGGTTTCGGTTCAAAAATACTTTTTGCCAAAAATACCAAATTTCACTTTTTGGTAAAATAGTGATTGAAATGGCAACATTTATTTTTGATTTTATTATTTGTATTCTTATTTATTTTTATTTTTTTATTTTTTTTCATCAAGTACATCCTCTTCAGCCAATCAAATGAGAGTTAAGAGATCAATGCACTGGACAACACTGAAATGTTGAAATGAAATGCAATGTGAAAGGGCCTTTATATGGACAGTTCACTCAAAAACGAAATGACCGTCATCATTTACTCACCCTCATGTTGTTCCAAACCCATGAGACTTTGGTTCATCTTTGAAACACAGAGTAAGATATTTTTTATGAATCCTGAGAGGTTTCTATCCCTCCAGGTAACCAAAAGAACCTAAGTCTTATGGGTTTTGAGGGGGAGTAAATGATGACAGAATTTTCGTTTTTGAGTGAATTATCTCTTTAAATTATGCCTTTGTGAATATATTAATTTTATTTTGTGAATATCAATCAGGTTCCACATTTATGTATCATATTTTGTGAATATATTAATTTTAGCCTATTCCGAGCCCATACTGAAATGCCACCAGCCCATGTCTTTAAAACATTCCCATTGTAGTATGTTTCCATGCAGTTTTAGGATATTGACTGACAGATCCTCTGGAGCTGTGGTGTAGTCCTCGCTGTGTTCTTTTGTTTCTTCTTCCTTTTTTTTTTTTCTTGGAAAATATAGACAAACTAGGAAAAATGCACAAGAAATCAGTGTAACAATCACAATATGCATGCTGAGGAGGAACATAGTGAACATTGACCTTGAATGTATGGTGACTTTTTACGAAAGGAATAAATAAATATCTATATATTAATAAAACATTTGTTCAAATGACCTTTTGATGATTTTTAATTTGTCATCTTGAATTTACAATTATTTGCATTGAGTTTCAATGGGTGCTGCACATCTACAGCCAACTCAACAGAAAATACTTTTATTGTGATATTCATTTATATTTTATGATGCTATTTATTGATACATTATTTGATAAAATATATAAATTTAAATTAAACCAAATAAATATGGCATGAACAATTTTGGGCCATTAATGGCTAATCTTACACCCTGAACTACTTATTTCGTTTGTTTTTTTGGCTTTCTCACTTGCATCCACATACCGACAAGGCAAGCTCAACTGGGTCGTCCACAAATAAAATGTCATCTTTTAAGACGGACTGTTAACCAATGTTTCACGAACCTGAAGAGCACAGTTTTAATCTAGCGTAATGTTTGTGTATTTGTGCATCATGACGTCGTGTCTGTATGAATACGTGAACTGTCCATGTGTTTGTCTGCGCTTGCCTGCTCGCCTTTTTTCTTCTTCTTATCTTCTAAGATCTGATCTATTTGAGATGTATAAGACGTGTCAGTTTTATAAGCATGCATTTTATATAAAGAACTGTGAAGGATTTGATATTGAAATGTGCTCTTCAAGAGTTCATTGTTTTCCATACACATCTCTGTACTAATGGGAACTCCTAACCAAACTGCTATGGGCAGACCTTTCATTTTGCACTATATTTTGAACCCATGTCATTTCTAGAAGTGCGTTATTGACTCATCTACGAACATAAAATTGTGACGTCATCCATGAGCAGTCCAAACAAAAGCGCCATGTCACAGAGCAAGTAACCTACAGTACGGCCATCGTGCGCAACACTAACAGTCATGTGAATGCGGTGGAAATGTAGCCATGCATAACCTCGGTCTGAGCTGAGCTCTCAGGTACAAACCCCTGGACCTCTCTTTACTTTCCAGTTTGGGTCCTGAATTGTCCCGGTTCTGAGTGTTGCAGGACCTCCGTAAGTCACCTGCCTCCCATCGCTGCTCAGCCAAACCAATCATGCCCTTTCTTTTATTCTTTTGTTTTGGTTTGTTTTCGACTCTCATTCGCTGTTCGGCTTAAACGGGCAGTAGGGCTTCACAACTGTTTCGTCTCATACCGCCACCTGCCTCTCTGGTTGGTTTTTGTGTGTGAGCTGTAGTTCGTACCAGCCAGAGAGGTCATAGGTTGCCAGGAAATGGTGTTGGCGCTGGAGGTAACCCCAAATCTAACTCTTGCATGCATCTATCAATGCTGACAGAAGTACATTTGCATGCCTGCTCCAAACACCCTTCCTAGACTCTTCTCCAGATACCTGTTCATAAGTATATGTCAAATGAATCACCGTATGCCTTTCAGCAGTACCTTTCTTCTGTATCCCAAATCAAAGTGCATTAGACTTTAAGCTGTTTTTGTGTCGTAGAGTTGAGTGGGTCACTAGCGCGGGCCGTGTTGTGGGCATACTGACCGTGTTTGTTCTCCACCCCCTCTCCATCTAGTGACCGTTCCCTGGAGGTCTACCACAGGCCAAGCATCATGGATGACCGATCCGCTCCTCTCTACTACTAGAGGGGCCATGCAGTGGCCTGTGCACTTTGTCGCCCTCTTCTGTTCTGTCTGTGTCACTGCTACAGCATGTGGAGGCAGAGCACATGCATTTACCCACAGGGCAAGGAGGATAGAGCTTGTTGTGTCCTGAACGGATTAGAATAATGATCTCTGTAGCTACATAATTAACGGTATTTGTATACACCAATTCATATGTTTCAAAAGTTAACAGCTTTTCTAAATGGTTTTCTTAATGTTAACAAATCAGGCACAACCGAAATGATAATGACAGTGTGCTTCTTTTTTTTTTTTTTTGGAGGGGAAAGTGTATGCTTGATTGTGTAAATATGAGATCTTTTACTTGAATGAATGTGAAAATGTAAAAAAATTAAATAAAAGTGAGTAATTTGGTAGATAATATTTCTGTAAATGCAGTTCTATAGGGAAGCCTTTCTTTTTCTGTCAGTTATGTTTTGTGGCACATGCCTCTATCACTCATTTCAGAAAGCTGATTAAACTTCTTCACAGGGGTCTTGATGCTGTGGTCACTATTTTAATATTAAACACCACGGTGCTTTGCTAAAGTTCTAGTGTTGGCTCTGTGAATTCTGTCTTTGCAGAGATCTGTACAGTATTTTAGATGCAATATATAGTGCAGTTTCTCATGCAAGCAGCACCGACACAGGAACTGTGCCTTTTCCTGCTGTTTTGTGCTCAATGCGGTTCTAAATATCTGTAACTCCACTGGTGTATGTAAAGGGAATTGCTTTAATGTGATATTTTGTTTTTCCATTTGATTTTTGTACTATTATTTGCTTCTACTGTACTTTTTTTGTTCTTTTCTTAGAAATTTCAATGACTGTTATAGAAATATAAGGGGGTTTATTTGTCTTCACCTGCTGCTTTTGCTTTTCCACATACTGAGCAATACCGCTTATTAAATATCAATAATAGACTTGTTGAATAATAGTGAAAATAATTCAATTGCAGGTTCTGTAAATATATATTTTTATTTTGTTTCTGTTTGAGGGACTGAAAAGCACTAGAGCAGTATATATAATCACTGATTTTCAAAATGTTACAGGAAAATACAATATCAGCTAGTTTAGATACTGATATGAATTGCATGTTTTATATATTAGAGCATCTACTGTGGATCGTGCAAGGAAGGCGGGATCGTTGTGTGATTCTTTGATGGAACGATTTTGTGTTTGATCAGCTTTAAAACCAATTTTATGTTTTATTTTTGTTTTGGCTTTTCTGTTTATTCTTATTTATGGAGAACTGCAAATGTTTGTGAACATTCTTGTCTTTTCTGAAATAAAAAAGCAAATGTAAACTGCCACACTTTCAGATTATATAAGGATTTTTTTATGTTTTAACCTAGAAATTATTTCGTTTCTTCCATTTAACCATATGAATTTTTTTTTATTATATTAATTCATATTAATTTTCTTTAATTCATATTAATTTTCCATTAAACTTTTGCCTCAACTTATACTTTTTTTTTTTTAAATATTAACATTTTCATCTATTAAATTAGAAAAAAAATGCAAAACAAGCATTTTCACTAGTGGTCTCAAGGCCATGTCCACACGTACGCGGGTATTTTTAGAGTTTTTCCTTCCGTTTTAAAAAAAATCTCCGTCTACATGAAAAAACCGGCCATCGGTCCCTTTCTCTGTGTCAGACTTAACTTTGTTTGGTTTTCGTCTTCTAAATCAGTCTTTCCCAAACTTTCTTTAGTCGCGGCACCCTTTGGAAATTTTAACAAATTTGTGGCACCCTACAAAATTAATTTTGTCACAATATTTGAATTTCTAACTTCGATATGATAATAAGAGACATTTTAGCATAGTTTTTATTTTGTAAACCACATTTAGTCTCGTTTTTATTCGTCAACGATATTGCATTATACATTTAATTATAGTCATCGTCACATGACCAGCATTTTCGTCTCGTCTCGTTTTCGTCACGTGATAAAGGTTCGTTGACGACGATATTTAGTCATAATTTTCGTTGACGAAAGCAACACTAGCTATGAGGCAGTAACACCAGACTTCTCCCTTCAAAGCTTCAGTCAGTTCACTTTCATTTGACCTTTCTTTGGCAACCATAACCAGCCGATTGAAGCACTGATATTCTGAATGAGAAAAAGTATCTACTGCTGCACGATTTAGCACAGTATAAAACTCTTGAAAGCCATACAGCGTGAAAGCGAGGGTACAGGTACAGTGATTGTGACTTACAGTATTGGTACAAATGTGTATGGGCTCCAGTGATTCAAGGCAGAGCATGACAGGTACAGCTGTACGTTACATTTAAACAGATCATCGTGTAAAACGGGTCATAACTTGCCTCAGTGTAACACCTCAGATCATATAGGGACAAAAGACAAAATATATTGAGAGAAACTTGTAGAAACACATGAGGCCCACATGCCATCTGGACCATCTGAATTGTTTTGTAGTATATTTTTGAACATCTATTTGTTACTGGATTTAACAAAAATAACACTTCTGAGACAAGGCATCATCACAGACGAAGGATCAGATCTGCAGGAGCTGCCATTATTGTTTGTAACACATTTTGTTCACAGACGAGATGGTCACTCTTCCTTCTTTAACTTGGTTATGTGTCTGAGTACCACAGGTGTGAAGTGTACAGCTGTGACTTTGATAACCCGCTGGTTTTTTCCTGAAATCAGTTCCTGTAGCTCTCGGATTCAAAGCGAAAGTTATTCATGCACGAGACTGACTGCTGTGATAGACTTCCTAAAGTTCTGATCCTTACAAGCACCAGTAAACTTATCACCATCAGTACCATCAGGTCATATGCTGTGCATTTTCATGCCCCTATCATGTCATACTGGATGATATATTAAATTCAAGTTTTGGAACACAAAGAATTGAATGTCTGAGCTACAGCTCCAAATATGGCAAACGCACCATAAATGTATCATAAATGTAGCTTATTTAATTCCCCAGAAGTCATAAAATAGCTTTGCGTGAAAAACAGACTAGAATTTAAATCGCTATTATAATCGTTTGATTATTTTAACTATAACAGTGAAACCTTGCACTCATGAAAACATCCAAAAGTTGCAGTCAAGAAGCATTATGACAGGTGATCGACTGTGCCTTATAGCAAAGTTTGGATGTATCTTTTTAAATAGCAACTTCAATTCTTCTATTTCTCACATTAAGTTGCCATCCTCAGAGCACTCAGAATGTAGCACATGAGTGTTTTTAAAGTGTTCAAGTGCCTGATGTTTCTGAAAGTCATTGCAGGACAAAAACAGGAATGACCCATTTGTGAGCTTTCTTATATATGCATGCTACCATAATATTTGAAGGAAAATAGCTGGTTTATTATCTGTTCTCCTGCAATACTGTCATTGCTTCTCAGCACAATCAAGTACTGTAATATATCACTGTCATCTGTAAAATATTTGGGATATCTAAATAGAAGTAGTAGTATTAATGAGTTAATGATTAAACTGCACTCTTGAGTCAATAATAAAGTGCAGGTAGTTGCTGTGTGAAAGTTCTTCAGCATTAAAAAAAGCAAAACGCTGTTGAAGACTGTATGAGGACTTTTAAGTGTGATGGTTTATATTGTTAATATAATCTACTTTTGTACCATACGCTTAACACCCCTGAGCTAAAGTTTTGTTAAAAGTGGTAAAATATAGAAAATATCACTTTTGAGCAGCTTATAGTGAGGGGCTCAGTGTAAATCATTTTTGGCACACTCAATAATAAATGTGGGTCTTTCTTTTATGAGGGCAGGACATCTTGTAACTCTATTTTATGCAGCTCATTGGGTCAACCTGAAAAAATGTAAAGCACTATGACAGATCTTTCAGACTAAACCACATATTGACAAGCAAATGAGGAGAGCAGCCTTGTATCTATATTGTTTCCTACAATACGGTATGTGTAAAAAAAAAAAAGGGATGATTTTAGAATGATACTGAATTGTGCAAATAAGTTATAATCTTCATACTTCATGTTCTAATACATAGATAATAAATATGTTGTGTTATATAGATCTCTTTTTCTGTTCTTATAACTTTGTCCTCAAAAACTGTCACTCAACCACCATCTGTCTGACACAAGGGAGGGGCTGGCTAATCCACTACAATATGAGGCACTGTGTCCAAACATTATATCAGGTTGACAGGACCCTTTTGTCCAGCACGTTTAAAAGAACAAAAATATAGCAATTCAGGAGAGCCCACAGTCTGATGAGACCAAACCATACGGGTTCTAAACACCTCTTCAATTAAATGGGTTAATGACCCCTTCACTCCTGGGCTTCATTCTCACTTTTACCTGTGTGACAAAAAGAGACAGCTAGTTAATTTTCAATGTCAACCCTGCATACAGCAACAAACTCAAATGTAAAAGCATTAGATCTAGCACCTAATGTTTCTAAACTGTATCAACCATGTCTTTATGTTAACAGAACTGACCTCCAATGGAGTCCATGTCAGAGTCAGACACATGCGTAATGGAGAAACGAGAGACACTAAATCGGGAAAGCGGAGGTGCTGGTTTTTCATCTGGAGACTTGACAGGAGAGTTGGGTGGTGTAGCGATCTCTTCAGAGCCAGATTCTGATGTTGAAGTGCTTTGCATCAATGGAAAATCATCTTGCCACAGAAATGCCCCACCTATTTAGTGTGAGAGGCTTGTGAAATGTCACTAAACAAGAGGTACTACCCATAAAAAAATCTAATCAATATAAAGGAATTGTTATTGAACACTCACTTTCTTCTGAGACATTCCTTCCTGGTGAATCCTCAGGGGTAATATCCCTATCCTGGGACCGTGGCAGCTCCACCTCTGAAGCCTGGCAATTGACTTCTGCCTCCACAGGAAAACTGTAGTCCCCAAGCTCACCCGTGGGGCTCTCCTGAGTCGATACACGGCAAGACACAGGCTGTGAGTTACATTAGCACTGCACAAATCAATGTATTTTTCTGAAATGAAAAGAACATAACATGCTACTACTTAAAGGGTTAGTTCACCCAAAAATGAAAATTAGCTTGTGTTTTACTTACCCTCGAAGCATCCTAGGTGTATATGACTTTCTTCTTTCAGACTAATCCAGTCGGAGTTATATTAAAAATTGTCCTGGCTATTCCAAGCTCTATCATTGCAGTCAGCGGGTGTTGCAGTTGAACAGTCCACAAGTCATCAAATAAAGCTCGCGCATTCATAATAAAATGTGCCGCAGATGGCTCCAGGGGATGAATAAAGGCCCTCTGTAGCAAATCCATGTGTTTTTTTAAAGAAAAATATCCATTTTTCAAACGTAATAAACACTTTTCTCTCACTTCCGCTGACTGTGGTACGCGGAAAACGTTCAGGCGGATGACTTAGGATGTATGCGTCGTGCGCGCGCCTCTGAGAAATGCAGGAGCAAG